TGAGACGAAATGACGAACGGACAAATTTTCCGTGAGATAAATTGTCGAGGACGAATATTATGCGAGACAAATAGACTGAGACGAATTGACGGGTACGAAAAAGACTAATACGAATTGTTATAGCACCATGAATTGTACAGTGTCCTTAAGCGTATAAAAATCCATCGCAAGTGAATGTATTAAGATTTGAAATAAAAATCAGTTTCAGAAGGCCATAATTCACTGGTTACTTACTAGGGATCTTATTAAAGCGCAGTACATATGACTGCTTTATAGTTTATCCCTTCACATCTATCTTCTTACTACACTAATGTAGATAAAATAAAATACTAATAATTTCTATCAACGTAAAATTATTAACTAATCATTAATGCATAACGGAATTATTTCAGTTCTATTATCTCTATAGTAACTATCTTAGATTGTCAACATTATATTTTTTTACTCTGAATCAAAATCTTCACATTTATTTTCTGCTGTAAAACGATCATGCACTATCTAAATTCAAATATTTTTCTCCTTAATGTGTACTAATAAATGGCCATTATTAGTAATGAAACAGTATATTGGACAGCTTGTGCTTTAGGCACTTGTGTATCTCTCATTACTGCCTATCATTTTCATCGTCAGCAAAATGTATTGAATGCTCAATTAAAATTTGAACGATGGTGTAAAAATGAGTTAGAACTCTACTTGCATAACAGTACCACTAACAACAATACTAATACATGCGAGTTAAAAAATGATTTTGATCAATTACAAAAACAAATTCCAATGTTGACATCACTAGTTAATCAGAAAAAAATACGTATTGATCAAATGAAACAAATTATTCAAGATTATCAACAACCCATTGTTGATATTAATGAACGAAATCGTTTAAGAAAAGAAATGGAAAACGTTTTAATTAAAACAACAAAAGACTTCGAATTCTCATCGAATGTAGATATCAATCTATCAGAAACAATAGAGCAAAAATGCTTATCATCGTCTTCTTACGATGGAAATGATCAATTATTGCAACAATTACCTGTATCAAAAATAATTGCCTTTTTTGAACAAAAACAAATGAATGAGTAAACAAATTTGTAAAATAATTTCAATAAAAATGTTCCTAAAAATTTGAGAGACACACTTAATCATTCCTTTCTCTCTAATATTCAACTATTTGATAGCAAAATCACGTTGATCTATGGAAATTTATAAACAAAGAGTGAACTTTTACAAGGTTAAGCAAACAGTTTTTAGTTAAGTTCTATGAGTAATGTCCATTACGAATCTACATATTGAAACTGGACGTAGGGTACTTTTAATAAAAGTTTTTCAATTGTTAACCTTGAAATACCTTTGCATTCGATGATAAATAAACGTTTTAAATAATGTGAATTTCGTCTTAAATATTTCATGCCCTTATCTGTTATCAGTTGACAATAAGAAATGTCTAATTCTCTTAAATATTTGCAAACTCCACTTAAATATTGTAAACTCATATCTGTCAATAGACCACATGAACAAACATTTAACGTTGTTAATAGTTTACAGCAAAATGCCATTGAACGAATTGCATTATCTGTCAGTTGTGTACAAAATGACAAATTTAATTCTTCTAGTTGTGAACAATAGGATGTGAATTTAGTCAGTCCTAAATCGCCAATTTGTTTACATGATGCCATTGACACTTGTTTGAGTCGACCATTTATACCCAATGATTTAATACCAGAATCAGTGCACGATTTTGTCCCACATAAATCAATCGATATTAAACTTTCCATTTGTCCAATGAGTTCCATTCCCGCTTCGCTTATTTGTTCAAGATAACATAATTTCAAATAAGCTAATTTTTTACATCTTCTAGTCAATTGTATTATTGATGCATCACCTACTCGCATACAATTTGTCAAATTTAATTCTCTTAAACGTAATACACAAATACCATCGGCTAATGATTTAATACCCAAATCAGAAATGAGGATACAATCGGCAATATTTAACACTCTTAATTGTTTTAAACTACCAATGGCTTTCATAGACGAATCAGTGATAGATGAACAATCAGTAATAGATATATGTTGTAGTTCTTGACATTGCTTACAAATATGACGAACGGAAAAATCATTAATCAATTTATTTGAATCAAATTTGAGTACGGTTAATTTTGATAAATAACCCAGTTGTCGAAATGCATACGCAGTCAGATAACGAGTAGATGACCACAATGACAAATGTTTTAATTTTGTCAAACGTTTAAATATACGATCAAAATGTTTATCAGTCAAATCGACTATATCATCAACGACAAGTTGCTAAAAGAATCAATTAAAGTAACGTGCGAAAAATGTATGAGAAAAATGACTTTTCTCGCCTGTCAAGGGAACATATCCAAATGTAACTCTGATATTCCAATGAGATACACTGCGTCTAGTACAGTCAGATAGACAAATTCCAGACATGACATTTTTACGTGACACAGTACATAGTTGCTAAATTCCCCAAGTAAAACGTGTCAACACATTTTGCGAATTTACAAATTCCTTTAAAGGATCTATAGACAAGATACCAGAATTTAACAAAATCTGCACACACCTGTAGAATATCGTGAGATTCATCACAAATTTTTTCAGCTTAAGTGCACGCGACATCGTTTGCTGAATATTCGCTAAGAAGTATTTTGTAAACGTAAAAGTATCTTCAGAATTTTGTCTGATTCTGCAAATGATCTGTGCAGAATGTGCTAATATTCCGTAAAAATGTGCGACCAATCTGTGCAGACTTTACACAGGTTGTAAAGAATTTTCTGGTCCACATTTTATAAGCTTCTGTTGCAGATCTAATTCAAATTTTATATAGATTTTCCTTGCAGAAAGGTCATCTGAGAACAGTCTATTCTTTTCTTATATAGTCGATCAACACACGAGTACATCGAGAAAACTCGTGCGTATAGTTTTGTAGAGAAACTCTTCAGTTACTAATCTATATATTTGAACTTAGTTTCTAACTTATCATGCTTGAGAAAAATATATTTTATCGAACATATGTCTTCGTACTATAGAACATGATTTTTTGTCTCGATGCCTCCCTCAATAAGGAAAAAGAACAACATACTTCTAATTAACCTTGTTATAAAATTACAATAAATAAAATTGACAATACTTTCTGTTGGCATACTCTACTGTATATTATGACTTATGTTCGACGTGCTTTAAAGAAAATTTGAGATATTTTTCGTTTACGTATGCCACAGCTCAGCCAGAAAAGAGTAAGCAAGGAAATCTGGCTTATCAAATAACGCCTCCTTAATTGTAGATTTTTTGGGCCAAATAGCTAGCTGCGCCGAGCAAGTGCCTACTTGCTAGCTCCAAGAGGACGATCCAGTGGGCGATTAGGGCCGAATTCAAACGCATCAGCTAGCTTCAACTCACTTAAGCTAGCTTTTACGGATTAAAAATTGGGTCAGGTAGATGCCCACTTTACGATTCTTTTTTCTGCTCAGGTAGTTACGGTTAACTGTAACTGCTAAACTGTAAAACTGGCACAGTTAAAACTGATACATTTGATAATCGAAACTGATCATAACTGTCAGAAAAAATTTATACGTAAAAGCAAAGTTTCTGGTGTTCTCTAATCCGTAGACAAGAAAAAGGTTCCGTTTAAATTATGTCTTTGCATTTTAGTTTTGCTTCAAAGATATCAGTACTTCCTGTTTAACAAAAAAGTATTCTTTCAGTTTTTAACTGTATCAGTTTTACAGTTCTACAGTTTAGCAGTTACAGTTAACTACTTTTTACCTATAACTGGTGCCTACCTATTTTCGTCTTCCGAGACAAAAAAATCATGTTATACAGTACGAAGACATATATTCGATAAAATATATTTTTCTCAAATGTGATAAATTAGAAAACGAAGTTCAAATATATCAGATTGTAACTGAAGAGTTTCTCTACAAAACTATATCTCGCACGCGTTTTCTCGATGTGTCTACTAAAAACTGTGACACACTGAAAGTCGAGCGATTATCAACTATACACACTAAAACGTAAAGTGTCGTATTTTTGTGCCACAGTAAGATGCATTGCATTGCAAAATTGTATCACAAAATTTTGGATCGCACTTCATATGCCGCGGCTGCCAAGACCTAGTTCTGAGTCTGATATGAGCGAGAGCTACTATGGGAGGATATCTTCCTCTGTTTTACCGGATTCTAAGAGATTTTCAATACTTTTCGTGTATGTTTCACTCGCTTCTGAGACAGTTATAGATGTCGCTGATACAGCCTGCTGAATTCTTATTAACCAGTCTGAAAGCTTCCTCGGTGCTAAGATCTGAATCTCCGAGAGTCTGCCATTTTGGGACGTAGAATGCCATGGCAAAACTCAGCGCAGCAACATTGTAGAAAGCGATTAACTTAAAATTCGATAAAAATTGAAGAATTTTTGAAAAATCCTGTATATCCATAGACTTAAATCGTGTTTCAGGAATGTGTCGTACGTATAGCAAACAATGTGTCGCAACCCGAACCCAGTGTCGGACTCTAACTTAGCAATGATATAGCTGTGTCACGAAAAAATGTCATGTTGAAATTAAAGGGGTGGACACATTATAAGACCCTCTCACAATAAATGACCCCCCTAAATAGAAGACCCTCCTTGAACTCATCTTGTAAAGTTAAAATAAAAGACCTGTCCTATTTTTCACTTTTTTAATTATAAGTCTCGCACAATAATAGATATTTTCTATTGAAAGCAAATTCTTTCTTTCTCTGAAGCGCATGAAGAAGAGAGAAAGGGCACGCATGTGTTGAGATGACAAAATGTTAAGTCTAATAAAAACAGCTTTCTTTTAGGGACAAAATGGAAGACTCCTCTAAGAACTTTATTCCTGCAGACAGAATAGACGATCCGGGTCTTTTATTGTGTCACCTCCTTTAGTGTATCTGACTGTATTAGACGCAGTGTATCTCATTCGAATATCAGAATTACATTTGAATATGTCCTTAGTAAGAATCCTCTCTCGTCGACAAGTATAGTTTCAAAAAAGTGCTTTATTCTGCATTTGTATACTCGTACTATTATTCATATTGTGAGGCATCAAGCTTTGAACTAACCTCTAAATCGTGAAATGCTTCTGATATTCCCTCGAATCCAACATGTGACAATTGTTGACAACCAGTGATGTCCAAATACAGCAGTTTTCGACAACCTTTTCCATTAATGATGTACGTAAATGCACGATCGCTGAATTTTATTGAATAAGCTAAACTTAGAAATTGTAGAAACGGACAATTTCTCGATAAACTTCTAAATGTTGTATCAGTAATCTCTGTATGAGATAAATTTAAATAAAGAAGAATATGACAACCAGCTGTCATTATAGTGATAGCTTCATCATTAACAGCTGTACATTCACTTAAATTGATATCTTGTAAATTTTTACAACTACTAATACCTACAAAATTAACAAAAAAACAGTATAAATTCTAATTTGAGAAGAAACAACAACAAAGACAAACCTAGGAATGTTAAACGTCCAATTCGATTACATTGTCTCAAATTCAAATGTTGTAAGTATGGACGAGCTCGTTGAATAAATCTCATAGCTAATTTATCATCAAGAACATTACTGGTCTGATGAAGATCCAATTTAGACCATAGAACAGATGATTGTGTCAATACTTTCCATTGTCGACATACCTTTAATAAAGTAAATCTATTCTAAATAGAAAATCTAAATTTTACGCACACACACATACTTGTGAACACCGTGCCAAATCATCAATATCTAAATAACTTAATATTCTTACGGCAGCTTCTCGTGTTAACAATGAAAGTTCATCACGCGCCTCTCCATGACCTGCAACAAAAAAATAAATATAATTGTTCATCTACCATAGATATTTTTGTCAATTTTACTTACTCAAAAATCCATCAAATGCTTGATTATCTTCTCCTCGTTCAACTCGATCAAAATAATCTCTTGTTCGTCGAGCATTTTGTGCCACTTGATTCCACTCATTCAAAATAATTCTCAACTGATTTATTTCATGACAATGTGTTAGATGATTTGCGGCTGCTTTTTGTCGATTTAAACGAAAACGTGCCCATTCATTCCATTCATTAAAATAGACTTGTAATAAATGTAAACGATGATAGTTTGCAGCATTCTGTATTGTTTGTTCTTCAAGTACGAGATGAGCATGACGTGTCAGATGATAACGAAGCCATGCATGAAAATATTTTCGTGCAGTTCGATGATTATAATGTTCAATGGCCGAACTAATTTGTTTTTCACTAGGTTCAAGTGTTTCATCACAAACAGCAAATACATAAGAGAGACTATTTTCAACTGTAAACGGTCGTTTCAGTGGATGATAGCATTCGGGTATAAAATAATCCCAATTAATATTACTGACAAGAATAGGTGATGATTGTAATTCACGTAAACAACTAATGAGCCAGAGAAAAGCATCATCCGGTTGACAAACGGCTAAACTTGATAAAAGAGCTTCATGAACTTCAGCAATATGATTTGAACGTAAATAAAAACGTGTAGTTGGATCAAGTGTTTGAAATAATTTTAATAATGATGCCATTGTTATTATAAGAAATTAACAACAGTTAAAAAAGGAGTTTTGTTCAACGTTCAACTTAATTTGTCCATCAATAAATGTTTCATGTAACACATTTTCCTTTTAGGAATAAAAAAACCAACAATTGATATGTTCTAATATAAATACTTCATGACAACTATTGAACAACTTACGTTTAAATGTGTCGAACGAACATGGATACAATGATTTTTAATTTGCTCCTTTTTTATTTGACTGATCTCGACGTCAAAATTTTATTTTACAGTTTTTCTTCGTTCTTTGTTATTCTTTAAAATCACTTCGTAGAGGACAGAATGTTTTTTTTTCATCAAACTTGACAATAAAGAAGGAAAAAACTCATTATACACGAGCTCAAAAATCAAATTTTATTCTCATGAAGAAAAACTGATTTCTTTACATACAAAACATTGATACAATTCATACAAAAAATTCAGTTCATCAGCTTTTTTGTTAATAGTTTTATATTTCGATCATAAAATCACGTACAGCATTCACAGCTTCACTACAAGCTTTTGGATAGACACCTTAAAATACAACAAACATCAGTGATAATGTATCAGAAAGGATAAAGCCCACAAAAATCATTTTTTGTTTTCCAGACAGAAAATGTTGTTTCTCTGACTTGTCTACATTATTTAAACAATTTAATTTGATTAGCTGCATATACCTGGTAGACTAAAGAAAGAATGAATTACACCCTTCAAAAGAACAAGTTTTGTTTTGATACCGGCAGCTTCTAATTGTTTTTGATAATCTAAAAACGAGTTAATTCGCAATTCATAGATTTTAACACATTAGTTTTATTATTTCATTTTTACCATAACTATCATCTCGTAATGGATCTAATTCTGCAACAATAAATAAACATGATGGTACGTTTGTGAATGATGAATGTAACAGAACAGATATTCTTGGATCTTTTATATCATTTTCATCACGTATTGCATTCGAGATAAACCTGACTTTTGAAAATAAAAATATAAAATGATCGTAATTTATGAGATGGTTCTATAAAAATACCATTGCAGTATTTCAGGAGTAATAATATGAACTGGTTGAGTAAATTCTTTATGGCTGGATTTTTGACCAGCCATATCTAACATTGGATATACTAGAATCTTTAAAAAAAATAAGATCTATGAGATAAGATGATAACTCTCGAATACAACAACAATGACAAGCACCTGAAAATCGATATCTGTTCCCAATGTATGACTGATTGATGCTGCAATTGTACCACCTTAAAAACGTAATAAGCGCTTAGTCATTCATCGGTCTAGTAAAACTGGAATAAATTAATACCAGCACTATCACCAGCAACACCGATTTTCGTCGTTGATTCAGCACCTGAAACATAATACGTTTAGACGGAATTTTCATGAGCTAATCAGACAATTACAAGTATTCATACCATACAGTTGTTTATTTTCTATGATATGTTTTGTAACTTCATAAGCATCATTAAGCCAAATTGGATATTTGTGTTCTGGAGCAAGACGATATTCTACAGAGATCCAAATGCTATTTGTTGCGCTAAAAAGATTTTAATCGGAGTATTTAATACAGCATGAGCAAGAACTCAAATGGTCATGACAACAACTACTATCCATTTTAAAATATAATGGCTGCGGATTTTTAAAAAGATTTTGACAGGAAAGAGAAAGAGATCTGAGGTTCTCATTTCTGTATAGCCGAGATCGATTCATTTTACATCGCAAAAGGGAAAGTTTCTGTTTTCCCTTCTATATAAATCTTCAGAATATTGTAGAAAACCATCATAATGCGCAGAATTATAGTACGAAGGAAGAACGAAGAATATTCATTCAAAGCTATTCGGTGAATGCATGCTTTGAATACAGACTAAAATCGCTTTCTTTCTCTAAAACAGGCTTTTACTAGGTTTTCTTACTTTTATTTGGAAACAAATATCGTCAAGAGATGCGTAATGATCAATTTCAGTATCTCGATTCATTTTTGAGGTTGCTTCGGCAAATCAAAATGTTATATGATGATCTAAGGAGAAACTAGTACTATTTGATTTTAATGATAGACAAAGAAGCTTGCGAGAATGGGTAAAAGATAGCCTGGTACTTCAAACTTAAGTAAGACTTATTTTCTTGAAATTTTATGCCAAGCTTGTTTGCTCTACCGCATGTGGTGCCACGAGATGCAGGATGACCGCGTCTGCACTCTATATATCCACACAGGAAGTCCTACAACTTGTTTGCTTGACAATCTGATTTTCTAAAGATCTTTTAACTACGCTATCTTCAGAAAAGTCTTTAACCCTCATCCGCCCACCTATAGGACTATCACTTGTTGTCCACCTGGGGTCCGTCCGGACCTCAAGTTGATAAAATAGGTTTAAAAATCACTGTTAAGACATGGAACATTTTTAATAACATATTCGGATTCAGCCTCGAATGATGA